GCTTCCCCAAAGCAATAATAAACCTTAGGCTCAAACTTTGACGTTTGTGATTAGAATAAAGCAAAACGTTTTTAAAAAGCAAAGAAAATAAAGGATCCAAATATAAAGAAACCTACAACGTTTTTCAACAAAGTTCATTCATGAGAGAAAGGGAGAGAGAGATTCTACCATAATTCGAGATTGGGCTCGTCCATAACCACGAAACAGACTATAACATTCCTCTCTATCATCCAAAAACTGTTGAAACCAATCCCTTCCATAAGAATCTTGGACCTCGATATAGAAGTTGTTGTTACGGTCCTTTCCAATTGCAACATCAAGCGTAGCGTGGTAGTTAGCGATTCGAAAGATCAGGAGAGTAGGTCTCCTAACAAAAACAAAACTACACAACCATTAAAAAACATTAATCACAACCGTTTAAAACAAGAAAAAAGACTTATATCAACCATCGATCATTGGAATCATGACAATTATTGGATTATCCATCAGGTGCTGAACTAGGAAGTCCTCAAAATCTAAGCGGTTGGGGTAGTCGGAGTAGTGGTAAACTCGATACACTCCTATTGGAGATCTCATGACTTCACCAAGCAGATAATTCGCAAAGCAAGAAAAAATTTGTAAGAGATCTAAACCCAACATAGCCATGCGTGAGCCCACCATTTGGATTTGAATATAGAGCCAGTAAAAAACCTCTTCAATGGAGAAGGAGATAACATCCGGTGATAAGTTGTGATTTATGTACAACGCGGTTTGTTACTGAACTAGGACAATTATTGTGCACAAAAGAAGTCTCCCTTGATGAATAACAAGATCCATGATGTTAGTATGCCTGGAGATCTGAATCTCATCAAAGATGTTGGAATCTCATCGCTCATTTTGGCAACAATCTTCACACAAAAACCCTAATCATATCTAAAATGAGGAAAAAGTAATTTTGGTCAGTGGTGTAGTCATATATGCTTATGGAGTCTTATTGGGCATTTATATGGCTTTTATATGGCTTTACCAAGCCAAATATTGTA